TTCCTATCTGATTCAAACAGGAGCTTCGGGCCTCACTGTTCTTGCCATGAGCACTCTCATGGAATAAAGCGTGTATCCTCTGGGCTCTGCCTCAGCAAATGCAGTATGGTAGGAGATGAACAGGGGGAGTTTCACTCTTTCCAGGGCAGTATTTGTGTGAAATAGAAACAACAAAGCTGCATTTTATTGGCTCTGGAACACAACAATCTTGTTTCTATCATAGCAAAGTACAACCATCTACTGTTTTGATTTCCTCCTTAAAAGAAATGACACTTTTTATTTTTCCACAGTTTTATTATAAAAATCAACATTTCATTTGTTACAATTCAGCTTATTGTAATAATCAAAAAGGGAATTTATACAAGTTGTTTTTACACAGTTTATAATTAAAGCACTTATTTTACAAAAAGGGGGAAGTGACTAAGTGGACGAGGGCTGACCAAATGTTGGCCATTATAATATAAATACATCCTTGCAAAGCACATCGTACCCAAGTCGATGGACAAGAAACACCAGTTGACTTTAAGACAATGACGAAGATTAAAGCTTAAGAAAAAATTTGAAAACATAAAGGATAAACATGTGAAAGCAGCACCAGATCCTTCACTTGCAAGCGAGGCTTGTCCAGCTTAAGCCTTTCGGTATCCTCTTCACTCTTGAAGTTTTCCTAACTCAGAGTTCATTTCACATACTATTAATTAATTTACTTGGTTTTTCTGCTTTATTTCCTAATATGCACATTTAGGCACTCTCATAAATAGACTTACCCACACAGACCAGTATCTCCCAACCACCATCCTGCTTTTATGTGATTAAAAACAAGATGGACAGTTAAGCAAAAGCATGTTCTCTATAATTCTTTGGTGTTAACTTTTGGGCATGCCCCAAGTGATGATTCGATTTTTTTTTCTAAATATATTTATTTACTTGTAAGGCAAAGAGAGGTCTCCCATCACGTACTCTCTTCCCAGGTACATTAGCAGGGAGGCCAGATGGCAGCATCCTTGAACTGGTTCCCTAATGGGATGCTGGCATTGTGAATAGTCACTTAACCCAATTTAGTACAATTTGCCTGCCCTAAAGGTGGGAGATGTAAGGGTTAAGTTTCTGCTGGATACATACATGTCTCTAAAAACAAGGAACCACTTGCCTTAATCAAAGGAGGATGTGTATAGTCATCATGATGGATCCCAGAATCTACCTGCCACTCCACTCAGGTATGCTGTAGACCTCATGTAATGAGGTGCAGAATCATGCAGAGAGGAATACCTGAGGACATCAAATCACAGTGCTTATAATTCTTAAAAAATTATAAACACATAATTCATACAAAGTCTAAGGCCTCCTACTCTAAAACTTTGAGAAGTTCCAAAGTTAAATTTGGGACTGCTGGGTGTCAGACCATCCCTGAGGCCAGAAACTACACATACCCAGGAGAGTGTCCAAGATCGTCCTTTACCGTCTTGGCTTGGGTGACTCGGTCGTGTCTACACTGAAGGCAGCCCCTCCCTGTTCACACTGCAAACTGCATCCCTGCACGTTCACTTAGAGCATCAAACATGTGCAGAGTGAACGCCCAAGATCTCTGGTTCTGCATCTTGGTGGATGCATACATCAGTCAAGTGGCAGGTTTTTCCCTGCAGCAAATCAAATAATTTTAAAACTTTAATTTCTAAGAACTTAAATTTAGGCACAACAAGGGTAGGAAGGCAGAAGCAGCTGATCTGTAACAGAGAAGCAAACTTGTTCCCAGTAAGCCTCTCTGGTCTCCTTTATGATTGCTGGTGTTAGGTCACACAAGCATATTTCATTAACATGCTATTTAGCAGCAACTAACACTACTTAAAGTATTCTTCATTAATGGGCCTTTACACAAAACAGAAAGATGTTCCCTCAAACCAACTGCTACCTAATAAACAGATGGTGTCTACTTTTGACATCTTCAATATCAAATTTGTCCTTAACTGAACTTCTTAAGGTATTTTTAATTGATGAGAAAAATCAATCACCAATCATCTTAAATATATACTGCCCAAAGACTCTCTCCCAATTGGCTAATATTAGATGAAAAAATGCTTTTGTGAAAATCTTCATGTCTAAATTCCTATCGCCTCTCCAGAATAGTGCTTCTCACATTTTATTAAAAGCTGACACATCTTTTTGTACTTCACAAAACATTTTTACATTAACTGTATAATTTTCTTGAACAAGCACTCCGTCTTGGTAAACAGACAACATCTTGTGGTATGCTAACAGAGGACAGAGGTACCAAGTGCCAAAGGCATAATAAAATCCATAGGAAGAAGAATTAATACTGGGAAAATTCCAGGCAACACTTTTTTCTGAGTATGCTACTGTCTGCTTCAGTAACCTGGGCTGCAGTTGAGAATGGGGCTGTGTAAGCATTCAGTTCAGTGGAGTGCACATCAAGTTAAGTGATACTGCAGTTCATTTTTCAGGTCATTTTATCACACTTATAAGTGGGCATACTTTAAAAAGACATGTTCAAAAGGAAAGATGATTTTTAAAGAAGTATCTAATGACTTTGTTCCACTTTCATTTCCCCATTTGGATAATGAGCTTAGAAAAAACACTGAAGCTAAAAAAATTCTTTCTCAATTTTTTTCCCGATTCTTGTTCTCATTTTTCTCTCCTTAGTTTTCCTAACATTCTTGTTTATCAATCAAGATAAAATTTACTTGAGCTTAACTGTCCATCGGAACTTGAGTCAATAAAACCTTCCAGAATAAGACAATTCTTTCCTTAGAGAATACACTTAGAAACACCAAAAATCCAGAGAAAGAGAATCCTGAGATTAAGCTGAACTGCCTTCAAATAATTTCAAACAAATTGGCACACAAATTTCTGTTTTGCAAGAAGAGGCCATTGCCATCACAGTACAAGCACTTGGACTGAGATAAAACAAGGCAATATTCTTCTTAGTTCATATAGTGCAAGTTTCCACATGGGAAGCCCACCAGATAAAGATGCATGTTAAAAAATGTAAACATAGAATCGAATTCTAATCGATACCCAGTTATTGCTAACCTTTCCATCTTCACTTAATTATCAAGTATCCCTACGTGTCACAGAACGTGAATTCAAGGTCCACTCTGTTAGACTGGGAGAACTTTGCTCTACTAACAGGAAGAGCTAATAATGCTTGTCTGACTGAAACATCAGACACTGATGGATTTCCACTTATTTATACAAAATCAAGTGCAACTGTTGATCCTCATAAGCTGTCTCCAAGAATCTGAGCATTATTCTAAAATGGTATTTTTTCTCTGTAGGAAGTTCATTTTAGGTATTTTTGTAGCTACTTGGAGCTTTACTTCACCCCTGCCAAAAATTGAGAATCCTTTCTTTTGTTGCCTTCTCTGGGGTCCTGAAATTCAGAGAAGCTAAGGCAAGACAGCATTAAAAACAGAAACAAAAGGACCTCCTTAACTCCCTGACCGACAGCTGTTACATCAGTTGGAAAACACATTCATTTTTAGCAGAGAAGTGCCAGAGGTGAGTGAGAAGCAGGAAACTAACTTTCAGCAAGACGGCAGGGCAGGCGAGACTGGCACGTGAGTCAGCCCTGGGAGCTGAAGTGGTGGTAGACCCAGTACCGTATGTGACGGCAGGCCAGGAGGATGGAACAACACTCCATGCCTGCTCCCGAGTTCTGACAGCTGAGAACTTCATAGTTGGTGTTCTTATTTATTCCCCAAATTATCATTCAATTATCTTAGTTTATAATAGAATAAGAGGGAACACACATAAAAAACAAAGGTGATTATAAGAATAATTTGTGGATAATTTGAAAATAATCTTACATTCACGGTGAATAACAAGATATTAAATTCATATCACACATTAGAAGAGGTACATACACAGACATGATTCTGAGAAGATTGGCCTAAAGAACATGAGCATGTCACAACAGTCAATACAGGAAACATCTAATGACAAAAATGTTCTTTTTAAATAGATTGTCTCTAACCACACATATTTAAATGTTTTACTCAAACAATATATATAAAAGTGATTTTTATATTATGATATGTGCGGAAAGTACTGCAAGGATATGAGATTAATTTACAACAAAAACATATGGTTAAATTTTTAATTCTTAAACGCAGTCTATAAGCTGTAAAGACATTTTAATGTGTGTTAAAACAACCTTGAAGTAAAGAAAGAGCAACAACAGTACGATCCTTGGATCATTATGCAAAAACAATAGTCGATGCAGAGCTAAGTCTACTGGGGGATGGAGCTGGCAGAAATCTTAAAATCAAACTTTCGACAATTATATTTCATGAATTCCTTGAATATAATGTGGTATTTTGGCAAAATGGCCTACAAGTTGCCAGGGAGGCAGCAAGGTGAAAACATGACTTTGTGACAAAGGTGTAGGCTCTAAGGTATGGACACGAGACCTGCACACGCAAGTGCGCGCGCGTGCGCGCGCACACACACACACACACACACACACACACACACACGGCCCTGCAGCGTCTTCCCAGACAGTTGACACAGGAGTGGGCTCTAAGGTAGGGATACAAGACCTGCACGGACGGACAAACCGATGGGGACACACACACACACAGCCCTGCAATTCTTCTCACCTGACGACAGCAACACCAGAAGGGATTCTATGAACATCTATTTCCTCGCAAAAATTCAGTTGGATTCCTAGAGAGAACAAAGCCCTGTGTCCAAGGTTAATATTTTTCCCCGTTTCATGACTTCTTCATTTCTTGGCCCTCAAATGTTAGTTAACATGAGGCCTATTTGGCTTCTTTCAAGTATCTATGGTTTGCTGCTCTGAGATGGACTTAATTGTCGTCGTCATCTTCTTCTTTTTTGGTATCAATAAAGCCCAGACATTCCTGGTCAGAGATGCCTTTATTATTCCTGTTTCCTTTGTATCAGTCATTTCACTGGGTTTAAGGCATGCTTTGTGTATTTAGTTTGCAAAAATAAAATTTTTAGTACAAATTTATTTTTTATACAAACTTTTATGGCACAAGCAGCAAATCTGCTGTTTTAAGAAAATATATAAATATCCTTTTCTTCTGTACAAATATCTCCAGTAGTCCCTACCCCGCTTTCTTTCACTGTACATGTCTGCCTCACATTTCTCAAGTAGCCCCCTCCCCCCCAGATCTCCACCTCACTGTATTTACAGGTCCGCGCGGGAGGCAGTCGGAGGAGGAGGGCCCCTCCTCAGGAGGAGTCTGTGCAGGGAGAGGGCGGCGGCGGGTACAGGTGATGGGAGTAGCTCCGTTCTGTGTACGGGGAGGGAGGGCAGCTCTCATAGTTCTCCTCTGCCGACAAGTACTGGCTTCGGGGTGTGGGGGGTGGGGGCACAGGCTCGGAGTCATAGTTTAAGTCACTGGTGTAGCCCTTAGCTGTCGTCACTGAGGTCATTCTCCGGCTAGGAGCATAGTCACTGTCGCAAACGTCTGTGCTGCAGGGGGTGGTGGGCGGTGCAAAGTGCCGGTAACTGTACGGCCTGTAGCTGGGATGGGGAGGAGACACACAGAAGCACAGTTAGCTTTGCAGAAAAACGATGTCAGAAACACACTTCACTCCGAAAACAACAAGCTATGGCAATTGAAACTTGCAGAGATCTAGAAGCAATTTCCAATGGCTGACTGGCCCATGGAGATAACATGCATCTTCGCACTTGCCAACGAATGTCATCAGAGGCAAGGGCCATGGACAGAGTGGAGAAGTAGAGGTGAATTTGATCCAGCCTCTGGTTGGGCTCCGATAGCTGCAAATTATACCACATCACAGAATGAAAGGCCACTGAAAGCTGTACACATTCTGCATCCAGTTTATGGAGTAGACCTCATCAATTCCCAGTTTCATAGCTCATGAGAAGAACCAGTCTTTACACTGCTCAAACATGTTAGTATTACCCCAAGTCTTTAACCACTCTATAATTTATCTGATAAACAATTTAATAATGTCTGAAGACTTTATTTTTCTCAAGGTTTGCTTTAACTCAATCACACAACCCAGGCTGAATTTTGGTAGACAGTTCAGAGGCGCGCTTTCCCCACTGTTCTTAGTCTCAGCAAGGGGGCAGTGCAGTGTAATAAGGCAAGGTTTTGAATCCTTGCATATAGATGAATATACAGTCATAAGGACAGCTTTAACTGAGCATCAAAATGAGTAATTTTAAATACCCATAAGGTCAGTGAATTTTCCAATATACATTTCAGAAAAGCCTAACTTACTTCTTACACTTGTCATTTCAACTAATCTACAGATGTTAAGTTTGTAGCGTAGCTAACTCAAGAAAAACAAATTAGAAAGAGGGGCATATCATGAAAATAAAGACTTGATCTAAAATGTTGGCTTTGCTATCATTCTTCTACTTGGAACATTTTATTCTAAATACGGAACAGTTTATCTTATTCATGTTTATCCTAAAGACTTATTTGTAACCTTTCTCATCAACGAGGCAGGAAAAGGGGCAAGAACAAATGTTACACTGATAATCCACAAAGTATCTGCTGACACAAAGCACCACAAGATAACATTCTTCAACACAAACAATCTGTTATCACCTGGGCTTGTTCAGAAAGAAACAGCTGCCAGTTTAAAAGTTACTAGACCAGCCTAGTAGGTTCACACACTTTTATTGTCAATACTGACAGGGGATCCTGGTGTTTTGTTTTAATTGCTCTTTCTGCACCACTATGAAGCCTTGGTGAAATTTCCACCCCAACATTTAAAAAGCCAAAGACTGAGATTCTCATATGAGAAAAATAGAAAAAAAAAATAATGAATAAAGTGTTTTTATAGTCTTGATTTAAATGACAAAAAATTAAAAACCCTGCTTCCCATCCAGCTCCGTGCTTGTGGCCTGGGAAAGCAGTCGAGGACGGCCCAAAGCCTTGGGACCCTGCACCTGCATGGGAGACCCACAAGAAGCTCCTGGCTTCAGATTGGCTCAGCTCCAGCCGTTGCGGCCACCTGGGGAGTGAACCATCGAATGGAAGATCTTCCTCTCTGTCTCTCCTCTCTGTATATCTGCCTTTCCAATAAAAAAAAAATTTTAAAAAAATTTTTTTATCAACAGGTGATAAAAAAAAAGTTGATTCTAAGAAACAGAAATTAGGCTTCATTTTAGACATGGGAAATGACTAAACAAGAATTATTTGAGTTACAACATACTTATTTTGATCAAATTGTTTCAGTTTATTCAAATGAAATTCACTTCTCTCTCTTTTTTTATTGGAAAGTCAGATACACAGAGAGGAAGATTTCATTCGCTGATTCACCCCCCAAGTGGCTGCAATGGCTGGAGCTGTGCCTATCCGAAGCCAGGAGCCAGGAGCTTCTTCTAGGCTTCCACATGGACGCAGGGTCCCAAGACTTTGGGCCATCCTCGAAGGCTTTACCAGGCCACAAGCAGGGAGCTAGATGGGAAGTGGGACCATGGGGATAGGAACCGGTACCCATATGGGATCCCAGTGTGTTCAAGGCAAGGACTTTAGCCAATAGGCTACTGTGTTGGGCCCCTTTCTTTTTTCAAACACCTACTTTATTTGAGAACTGGAATGAAAATAGAGCAGCTGGGACACAAACTAGTGCCCACATGGGATGCTAATGCTTGCAGGTGGAGGATTAGCTTGCATCACCACCACAATGGCCCCAAGAAATTAATTTTTAAAAATAAAATTCTAGGCCATTTTAATTTTTAGGCTTTTTTTTTTAAGCTTTTCTTCTTTCTTTTTTTGAAAGGCGAAGAGAGGGGTTGGGGTGCTGCGGCAAGAGGACAAAAAGAAAGACAAAGCAGAGGAAAGTAGTACTTTCATCAGCTGGTTTGCCCCTCAAAGGAACACAACAGGCAGGGGCGCGTCAGCTGCAAATCAAGAGTCTGGAACTCAATCAGTCTTCAATGTGGGTGGCAGCTAGTTAAGTCATCACTACTGCCAGAGTCTGCATTGGCAAGAAGCTGAGCTGGGAGGGACATGGGATTCAAGCTTAGGTACTTCAGTAAAGGATATGGTGTCTCAAGCAATGATTTAACCTAACCACTGCACTAAATGTCCAGTTCAGTTCTGGCTTTGTAGAACAAACTTGTGGTAAAGAAAGTAACATTAGAATAAATTACTAAATAATCAGTTCAGAGCTGATCTTTCAAACACAGCTTTTTCCAAACAGAAGTAAGAACTCTTGTGAGATACTCTAAATAGTTTCCATGGCATTCCCACACAAGTGTAAGCCTGTACAGGATCAATCTGACCAAAGCCCTAGGAAATATCTTGTGTAGAAGCTAAAGAGCTTGAGAAAAACCAACAGGCACAGACATGCAGAGCAGCAGCCGTCAGCTTCCTGCCGGCAGAGGGAAGAGTGAGAGGACACAACAGCACTTGACCTACTCAACATGTTCTGTAGATTTTGCTTTGTAAGGCTTATAAAGACACTTTATTTATTTTCATGAGTCTAATTCTATTCCATGTAACTACACGGGACATATTTTAATCCAGATCCTAATAACAAATTATCCATGGGCAATCCTATACTTGTTCAACATTTCTCAAAATTTATGCTCCTACTACCCCTTCTATTTTCAGGTCCGTGACTCCCTCAACAGAAGTCTTACCCACAATGCTCTATTTCTAGAATATTAATCAAGTGTAATCCCAGTAGAATCTACTCTGAAATCATATTAGTGGTAAATTTTCCTTTTAAACCACAAGGTTTTACTTCACTCCTCTAAAAATCGGGACTGGTGACTCTCTTTCAGAACAGTATAATGTCTTCAGACGAAAAGGTCTTGCAATGGTGCAATGTTAGCGCCACCAATAAAAGACGCCTATGCTCTCTGCATGGTGCTCATCCATTCATCGGGGGCTACTGGAGGCCCAAACTAGAGCACTTCTTCCTCCTAAGAACGACTGCAACTTCTCTTACAGGGAGGTGTGCATACCTGTATGACCTATGAGTAGAAGGACTGTTGGAAGAATAACCAAATTCCATAGTATAATGTGATCGCTCTGTGGCTGGGGATGGTGGAGGGTTCAAAATCTAAAATGAGAGAAAAATTAAAATATTAAAGCAACAACAGTCTATCCAAGGCAAAACTATCACACTTCCTTTCAACTTCTCTTTATCTTTATTTATATTCCCTTTTACTACATTACTAGCACAATCCTTTTTCAAAGAATTGGCCTTAAATGGCACTGCAGGATTGCGGCTCCCTGTTTTCTAGGCCACATTAACATGGTTGAACAATTCAAAGAACTGAAAAGTATCTGGAATCTGTAAATCATTGGTATAAGTAAACATACTTTAAAAAAATTACTGAGTTGGGGCAGACATGATGGCTCAACTGGAACTAGCTAACTCCATGTTCCAGCATCCACATCCCATATTGATGTTGGTTTGTGTCCAACTGCCCCACTTATCACGCAGCTCCCTGCTTGTGGCCTGGGAAAGCAACAGAGGGTGGCTCAAATCCTTGGGACCCTGCACCCACATGGGAAACACAGAAGCAGCTCTTGGCCCCCGGCTTCAGAAGGGCTCAGCTCCAGCCGTTGCAATTACCTGGGGAGTGAACTAGCAGATGGAAAATACGTCTCTGTTTCTCCTTGTATCTCTGAATCTACCTTTCCAATTAAAAAAAAATACTGACTTGAAAGAAATTCTAAGTCTGGTTCCTCTTTTATGAACTTACAAAAAAAAGTCCTAACCCTCTCATGATAAGTAAAGCTTTATGTAAAGGGGCTCCAAAGAGTTCACAGAAAATTCTGAATAAACTATCAACAGACTTCAGGGATTTTTTTTTTCCCACCAAAACAAATTTTATTTCTTATTTGGGGGAGGGAAGCAAGGAAATAAATGAAGTATGCATGCAAACACACACACATTCACTCACTCATCAAATCCACTAGTTTATTCCCTAAATGATTGGGCTAATGCCAGGAGCTAGGAACTCAGTAACTCAATCCAGGTCTCCAATCACTGCAGCCATTCTCACCGCCTCTCAAGAGCTGTGTTGGCAGGGAGCTGGTGTCAAAGAGTCGGAGCTGAGAACCAATCTTAGGTGCCCTCAAGAAGAAATCAAATGTGTTACCTGCTAGGTTATATGACCATGCCAAGAATTAACCCTTTTTAAAACTGTGTAGCAGCCATGTTTTCAATGTTCTTCCGTACTTCTCCGAGTTGATTTATTTTCTTAGTTGGAAGATAGATTTTTAGACACAGATCTTCTATCTGTTGGTTAACTCCTTAAATAACCTCAATAGCCAAGGTTGTGCCAGGCAAAAGCCAGGAGCCAGGAACTTCATTCTGTTTCTCTATATGGATGGCAGGGGCCTTCCCAGGCACATCAGCACGAAGCCGGATCCAAGCAGAACAGCCAGGACTCAGACATTTCAGTGGCTTCACCCGCTGTGCTACAACATGAGCTCCTCCTACACTTAACTTTTAGTTCCACTTTTCAATGAACTTTTCAAATTCCTCTTGTATGTCTAAGTTCTCTAACAAAAAGCTAATTTATCCTTACCATCACTGAACACTTATTCAATGATCTAAAAATCAAAAAGTCCAGATATTCTAGAATTCAAAGAAAAGGAGACTACTTACTGCAGGAAAGTAAGTGCCTTTGGTGCTTGAAGAACTGCTTGATGATGCTCCTGTCACATGTGCTCGATCATAGGGGGGTCCACTGCTTCCCCCCATGATACTGAGGGAGCTGATCATTGATTTACCTCGAGACATTCCTAGAACGATGGGGGAGTTAAAACTAATGATGAGAAAGATCTATAAAATATATGGATCAATCACATTTGACACTCGGTGCCACAAATACAGTTTGAGTTTCAAACAACTTTTGGTCTTCCTAAAAATAACTGAAATTGCTGGTGGAGAATGGAAAGCAATGTTCTCGAGGTGCGAATGCTTCCACTGCGAGTCAGCCTAGAATGAAACCCAGAACAGCTCTCAGAGTTCTTCAAAGAGAGGCTGTCCTGCTGTTGAGGAGGTGATGGCTAGAGATTGTGAAACAGAGCACATTAGGTAAAATCTGTTCAAAAGGAAACATGCAATTTTTAAGGCACACACTCAACATAGGAAAGATATTTCTTCATCTACTAAATGCAAGAGTGGCTCAAAAGAAAACTACCGATGGAGAAGAAGCAATTACAATTTCCCCAAGTAATTTTCATACACTGCACTGGCTGAAAGTTGGTACAGCAGCAGGGAAACTATCATTAACAGCTTTGAAATGATGTCTGTTTATTTAAGAGTCACACCCACAAGTTCCTGTTTTTCAGAGGGCTTTTGCCAGGCACCTCCTTTTCCTTCACATTTACTGAAATGCTGGCTTCCTTTCACTAATAGCACCAGGAAACTCTGACAAGAACTCTTAATTTCCTTAAAGGAGTATAAGCTACCCAGGGGTAGAACTTCTGGATCCAAGGCTAAGCCTCAGCTAGTCCTCATCCCACTGCTATCACAAAAAATGACACAATAAAATAAAATAAAATACAGAGTCCTCCCTATTATCATGCAACTCTTCCTAAACCTTCACCAAACAGAATCTATTTTCTGATCTCCTATTAATTCTAGAATGAATAATGTTGGGGTTCCCAGTTTGTGAACTTTAAGTATATGTGTTTTCTAACTCTTTACTGAATGATTGCTGATTTACTTTTAGCAGAGGATCCAGCAGCAAAGTCAGAAAAGTGTTCAGAGCCCATACAGACAAATGCTTCCCATTTGTGCAAATTTCCATCAAGCTTGTATGCAGCACTTTTTGTGCTGAGAGTGAAAACAAACCTTTCAAGACAGGTTCTAGGTAGCACCTGTCTCCCTAGTATAAACTCAGTAATCGTGCCAGAACTCAAAACCTGATTCTCAGTGGAGCAGTCATCACTCACCTGGAAGAGAGCCTGACAAGGAACTTGGGTGTGGCACGTAGCCAAGCGGCACCGAAGCTGGTCCATGCACCACATAGTCATTAGTCATGGTTTCCCCATCCCCCTTCATTCGCGGACACAGCATCCTCTGGCAGACGAAGTACATGATTCCAGACACAAAAATGGTGACAATCACCCCAACAACTGAACCAACTGTATTGGTGGCCTGTGGTGCTGGCTCTTCTGTTGGATCTAAAACCAAGAATGTCATACAGTCATCTAATGGAAAGTTGGGCACAGCAGGCTTTCAGCACAGGTTAGATTTCAGAATTCAAGAGACAAAATTCAGCCTGGTCAAGCAACACCCAAAGCTTAAGATAAGCCTGATTAGATTGAAGTTACAGATACTTCAAAAGGTATGTGGAGAATTAGAATAAAAAATATTCATTTATTTTGGTGCCAAAAATGAACAAACAAAAACAAAAAGGAAATCCTCACATAATACACCATTTGCCATGTTTTTTTTTCTTTTAAATGAAAAAAAGAGGATAGATTTTTTTTTAAATTTTATGGTACAATTTCATAATTTCATAGGGTTTAGAATTTCCCTACCCCCTTCCAAGTTACCACCCCCATGACTGATTTTGCCCATATTTTTACAATAGTACAGTCAACTTCTTTTGTTTTTAATACTAGTTCTTGTGATGAGGCAGCACACTAGCTTAAGACACCACCTATGACTAAGGCATGCCATATGGGCACCAGTTCCTGAATCAGCTACTGCCCTTCCTATCCAGCTCCCTGCTAATGTCCCTGGGAAAGCAGCAGAAGATGGTCCACATACTTGGGCCCCTGCATCAGTGTGTGGCAGACTCGGATGAAGCTCTGACTTCCTAGCCCTGACTGTTGTGTTTACTTGGGACATGAACCAACAGATGAAAAAGCTCTGTCTCCCTCTCTGTAACCTTGACTTTTCTTTTTTAAATAAGATTTAATATATTTTTATTGCAAAGTCAGATATACAGAGAGGAGAAGAGACAGAGAAGATGATCTTCTGTCCGATGATTCACTCCCCAAGTGACCACAATGGCTGGTGCTGTGCCAATCCAAAGCCAGCAGCCAGGAACTTCCTCTGCATCTCCCATGTGTGTACAGGGTCTCAAGGCTTTGGGCCGTCCTCGACTGCCCTTCTAGGCCACAAGCAGGGAGCTGGATGGGAAGCGGAACTGCCAGGATTAGAACCGATGCCCATATGGGATCCTGGTGTATTCAAGGCAAGGACTTTAGCTGCTAGGCCACTATGCTTGGTCCCAACCCTTCCTTTTCAAACAAAATATCCAGCAAAAATTTATTTGAAAGGCAGTAAGAGAGAAATCTTTCATTCGATGATTGAATTCCCTAATGTCCCCAACAACCAGAACTGGGCCAGAGTCAAAACCAGAGTCTAAAAATCAGTCTGGGTCTCCAGTACAAGTGGCACAGACCCAAATCCTTGGGTTACCAGTTACAGACCTGTTCCAGGAACACTGGAGGTTCAGAGTATTCTTCAGTCCTTACAAATGATCATATCATCTTTTCATTTTTTTCTAGTGCTGGGGCACTTCTTTCTGATTTATTTTCATTTTATTTAAAAGGTAGAGGTAGATATTCTGTCTACTGCTTCACTCCCCAAATGCCTGAACCAGGTCAACTCTAGGTCTTCCATGGGGTGACAGTGATGCAAGCACTTAAGCCAAAACCTGCCCTAAATGCCTACCTGCAGTTTACAATCACAGCAACCCTGCATATAAATATATAGCTTAAAAAGCTAACAGTCTAACATCAAAACAGGTAAATGAGTTTTAAAATGAGAACTACCCAACTTCAGTAAGCCAGGTATCGCATTAAGAATTCAGTTTATCAATCTGGGCGACATTATTGCTTAGGACTGTATAAATAACAATGAAGGCTGTTCAGCCAAGGGGCCCTAAGTCTGTGGACACTGGCTGGCCTATGGATATTCAGGTCACATTTCAAGTTTTAAAATTATTTCTAAAATCTTTAAGCTACCACGAAACTGCTGTAAACACTTCAATGAGGCAATCAGACATTAACTAATGCTCAGAAATGAAGTTAAGATTATTGACTTCCATGTATCTAGATTGAGAATTTTATTAACTTCAGTTGTGACCTCCAAAGAATGTTTATTCTTTCCTAGTGCCTTATTAAGTGCTTTTGTGAAGATTTTCATGCATAAGAAAGCTGTTATATTTAAAGATTTATTAAAAACAAAGAAAAAAAAAATCTTGGAACCAAGCCAGCTTAATGGCTGAAGTTCTCGCCTTGAAGGTGCTGGGATCCCATATGGGCATTGCTTCTCATCCCAGCAGCACTGCTTTACAACCAGCTTCCCTGCTTGTGTCCTGTGAAAGCAGTCAAGGACGACCCAAGCCTTAGCACCCTGCACTTGCATGGGAGACCTGGAAGAGGCTCTTGGCTCTTGGCTTTTGACTGCTGCAGCTCTGACCATTGAGGCCGCTTGGGGAGTGAGCCATCAGATAGAAAATCTTCCTTTCTGCCTCTCCACCTCTCTGTATATCTGCCTTTCCAATAAAAATAAATAAATCTTTAAAAATTAAAAAAAAAAGAAAGAAAATCTTGAACACAACCAGCTTAATAATCTCATTTCTTCATAAGGAACTTCTGATTGTAAGTAAAGCTTAAAGATACAAAAATGAAATGATGTTTTTAAACAATTCTCAGGAGACATTTTCAGGACTTTGGTTTGACTTACAACAATCCAGTTCATCTGATTTGTCACTGCAGTCCACATTATGATCACATTTTTTGTGTTTCCCAATGCACTGGCCATTGGTACAACGGAATTGATCGATTAAACAAAGCACTAGAAAAAAAATGCAAACAGAACTTATTTTACTATCATGTAAAGACAAATGGAGTCACTTGTACTTTTTAAGTACAAATGAAAAGAATTTTATGTGTAACATAAATATTATTCTCTGGGTAATTCTACCAGCAGAGAGAAAAAAATGATAGGGAAAGAAGCCCATTGGGAAGTTTACTATTTTGTTCTTTGTACTATATTTCCTCTGTAATAAACTTTTACTCTTTACCCTAAATAACTCTAGAGAACATGTTAAATTTTTTTTTGCCCTTGTTAAAGGTTATGGTAAAAATAACATATTTTAGATGGTAATCAATCAATCAAGAATTTACAAAACAGGGACTATTTTTATAAACTGAACAGAATCTTTTGGTCCCATTGTTCATATTTTCAGAGCTTACTGACCTGTAAAACCCCTATGCATGTGAAGAGAATTAAAACAACTTGCAACTATGTTCAGACATGATAATGGTCAACTGTATTTGAAAATTACCCAAAATTACTATTGAGTCAAATTTTAACTAACTTCAGTGGAAAAAGATTGTAAAACCAGGCACTATAGAATTCTAGATACCTTCACAGTTCTTCTCGTCGGATTTATCCTGGCAGTTTGCATCTCCATTGCATCTGAGAGCACCATCAATACACTGCCCACTGGCACACTGGAACTGGGACTCGGAGCATACGGGACAGTTGAGTTCATCACTGTGATCTTCACATTCAGTAAAACCATCACAGCGCCAAGCCACAGGGATGCAGTCAATTTCCCCAGTGAAACAAGTGAACTGCTGAGGAGAACATGTTGGGGGCTCTTCAGAGGGAGAGAAACACACGATGGTCACACAGAGTACTACAGAGGGGTACTACAGCACAGTTCAAGTGACTCTCATTTTAATAAATACATACCAAACATTACAATAACCCTGATTCAGACTAATACAGAAGAACTGTCTCTCCTTCTATATGTACATCTTCCTTTCAAATAAAACTTACTCTTCAAAATTTGAAAAATTAAAATTTTTAAAAGTCTTTTTTAAAAATATCTGGTAGTAAATAAGGAAAAATAGCAATTTTATCCCAGGACCATGGATCACAATATTCTTTATCTTTCTAACAAAAAATACTATATACTGTAGGTAAACATTTTACAGGGGAAATTTGAGGAATTATTTCCAAAGAAGTTATTTAGTACCCAGCACTATTGAGACTGCATGGATAACTAAAACATGAAACAGGATCCCTCTCAAAAATGTTTGATATTTGACTATGGACAGAGGGAGACTAACAAACATAAAGCAAGTACCTACACTGCTTTGAGGTGTATGCCATGAAAACTAGGGCAGCAAGAGCTGCAACTGAGGGACAGAGGAAAATGGTTCTATCGCTTTAGAGGTATGCAAGAAAAGAAACACACACACAAGTAAAGCCAGAGAACAAAACAGGAAAGAAGTGCTCAACAAACTCTAAATAGCCAATAAAATGGTTAGGAAGAAAAAGAAAAAAAGGTGGAATAGGTAAGACAAGCCTCAATGAAATCGTATTTTGGATTTAGATTCTGTATTTAACTTGTCTTTACTAGTAGACCAGTAATTTAAAAAAAAATTGCATAAAAATATTTGTTGCAATTTTGTTTTTCATAATAAAAAAACCAAAATGCTTTCTATAGGAAACTGATATAATATACTATAGAATGAACTATTCAGCATTAAAAGGAAAGACTTCTGAATACTCTCAACTGTTACACACCACTCTCAAAATATTAAGAAAGAGACTAGACACAAAAAGAGTACAAACATCATTATTCCACTTACATAAAGTTCAGCAATTGGAGCTAGATATCAGAACAATGCTTACTTTCCAAAACAGTTTAACTGACTGGTAAAGGACAGAGGGAACATTTAACAATACATTCTACATCTTGGTTCGGATGCTGGCAACAATGGTTGTTTTTATCAGTCAAAACACTTTGACCCTCCCTTTAATACACACAGTAAAAATATCACTAGATATACAAGCAAAAAAACAAACGCACTATAAGACATTGCCTAATGTGAAGATGACATCCTTGAATCAGCTTTATCTATGTTATAGTTAACAAAATGGACATTTTTCTAGAATTTGCTTTACTAAAGTCAATAGTTTAGTACTTTGATATACAAACCACAATTACATTTTTTTGATTGCAGTTAAAACTTATGTAACGTAAAATCAATAAAACTATTCTGAAGTGCACAGTTCAGTGGAATTCGGTACATTAATGTGCAACACTTGCTATTTCATTTCAAGTACCACAGCTTAACTTCTATTAGCACATGTCTGATCTCCCTGACTATATTGTCTGTTGTATCTCAAAGCGCTTCAAATCCTCTGAATCCAAGCAGAATGCCTACAGCTGCTATTCAACATGTGCAATACTTCTGTTTTTACATATAATCCCACCTTATCTACAATTCATATACTCTCAATTTTTGCTTTCAGAAGTATGTATTTAGGTAACTGACATCACTTTAATCATGATTGTAACATTGAATAGCTCACTTATTTCACATCATAATTTCCCCTATTAGAAGTAAGAGATTGCTCTAAAAAGTCTATTATTGTAGATAAATACATAGCATCATCCTTTTCCTTCAGCTGAGTGAACTTAAAATTGGTGCCAAGAGGAAGACTTCTGAAATAACACCGTGATTACTATTCTGGTGTTTGACACTGTGCTGCTACAATTTATCAAAGGAATACACCTATCTGTTGTGACATGCATTAAATCAATTTCACTACAACATAACACCATACTCAGTGGTACTTTTAAACTTTTTCTTTTCACGAGATAAGTAAGAAAAATAACAAGAAGCCACTGGCAGATGTAAACAAAACAGTATTCTTTTTCACTGTATACATTTCCAACATTATATAAACTAACAGAATCTAGAATTCATTGGATGGAGTGAGAAAAGGCAGAATTCACCCACTTTGTTAGTCTTCTGGGGGAAAAAAGAGGGGGAGGATAACTTTTGGGGAAATACAATTATTCACAGACTGAAAGTGTGGCAATAAATAAAAACAGAACATTGTCCATCCTTAAAATAAAGGAAGTCCTGTTATTTGCCACAAAACCAATGGGCCTGGAGGACATTGTGTTAAGTAAAGGAAATAAGGCACAGAAAAGACAAATTCTGCATGATTCGATGCAGGTTGTAAGCCAGGCTAACTCAGAAACAGAATAAAATGGTACCAGAGGCTAGGGAATAAGAGGTTTAGGAAGGGTTAGGAGGAAAGATTCATCCAAAGGCCAAGTTAGGGAGGATGGATGGAATATAAACAACAGGATCAGGAGGAAGGGCCCCCTCACTAGGAAGCCATACAGGGCTAGCCCACCTGTGCAAAGAAGTTACAACATACTTACCTCCACACGAGAGCTCATCCTGAAGCAGAACCAGGTGCATAGGGCAAGAACATCTTGTAGTACCATCCCCTTTTACAAGACAAATATGTGAACAACCACCATTATCCTGTGCACAAGGGTGCTGTCCTGTAAGGCAAAAAAGGAAACAAAACAAAAAAATGGAACAGCCTGTCAGAAAATTACTCATGAACCATGAAGAAAACCAAATTTAAAACCAGCCTGAATAGTATGCCCATACTAATGAGCCCTTATTCCATCACAAAGCTTAGTAAGACACCGGTACAGCTCATGTTAATATTCTGTGAACAAGAAAAGCTGATTACTAACGCTAGGAAAATCACTCAAAGAATGCTGAGAACAGAATTTCTTTCCTTTTTTTTTTCCATTTAAAACACAAGATTTCCTCTATCCTAAAATACTTCAATTAAAAACTTTTAAATGATAAAGAAAAAATGATGTCACTTGTAACAAATCCACCATCTTAACCACGTAAATTTTTTGTTTTACTCATTTGATAGACCCAGTGGCAGAGAGCAAGGAAAACAGAAGACACCAAGAATTACAGAGAGGAAAAAAGACATGCAGGGATTCGGGAAGTGCAAGAAGAGATATTTCTACCCACTGGCTCATACTCCAAATTGTCACAACAGCCAGGTCTAGGCCAGGACAAGGAAAGGAGCCAGGAATTCCATCCTGGTCTTCCACAAGGATGGCACGAGACCAAGTACGTGGGCCATCCTCTCCACTGCCTTCCCAGGAGAACCAGAAGGAAGCTGGATCCTAAGTGGAGCAATCAGGACTTGAACTGATATGGGACACTGTTGTCAAGTTGCAGTTTAACACACTGCACCACAATGCCAGCCCCCTAAAAAGTACAATCAAATGAGAATTTATTGAAAACGAAAGAGTTACTGAAAGACAACAAATGACATGGAAGTGGAGCACGTAGGACACGAACTGGCATTCACATGGGATCCCAATGTTTGCAAGTTGAGGATTTAGCCACTGAGCCACTGCACCAGGCCAATTCCAGTATTCTCTTTTCATATTTCATTTTTTTGTTAGTTTTCTCTCTAGCACTCCAGCTAACATCAGTATTCCTAACACCTCTTCTTGTGATAGATATGAGGGCATTTTGAAAATTGATATTTATTAACAAGACACTAGGGCAAGACAGTTATTTTCAAGAGTTTTTAATAATACAAAAAATTATTTATGGCTACTTTATCTAAGCTGGGAATTGAAAAATTCATTAGAAAAGTGTGGGAAGTATACACTTATGATTAAACAGTGTTCTGTGTTAACATCCTAAGTTTTGTTTGCCTTACTTTTGCTTAGGATTATAGTAAAATCCCTATCTCTAGCAATCAAAATATAAAATACAGTCTTTACTTTTGTTCAAACTGTAAGGGTATAAAGGGAAGAAAATGAATAAATGGTTTATATTGCCAGCATTCTCAAGAGAAATGAAGGAGAGAAAGTGAAGTCAAGATAAGAAGTTGTTAGTCTATGCGGGGAACTTTTTTAAATGAGCAAGATTACTCCTACGCCCCTCCCTCATTCCCAGTTTATAAGATAACAATTAATTGCAAAAAGCTCCCAGATGAATCTGACATAAGGCTTTCAATGCACAAATAGTTCAAAAAATGAGAAATACAAGCGCATGAAAATCTGGGGCACAAAAGAGGCTGCAAAGACAAGAAAACTCAGTTTGAATTCTCACAACACACCTTAGTGCTGCAATCAGCATGACCCCATAGCACTTACGGTATTCCTGAAGGTTCAGCTCCTTTACTGCATGAATGTCACTGAGCTGGGCGATTCTAGCCTGAACTTTGGTTCTTCCCTCCCGACCGGTCATGTCGATTTTTTCAATCATTTGTTGTTGTTTATCAATCCAATAGAGCCAGTTTTCAAATACAGTCAATCCCACAGGCTGCAAGATATTGGAGTCCTCTAATACTATCCGGTTGGCACCTTGTAAAAAGAGAAGAGCCAACAGAAATGACTCAAGTGTGTCAAATCCTAAGCATAAACACTTTCTAACTGAACATCAGTCCGAATCCAACAGTATGAAGAGGGGAAATATGGAAAGCTCTTACCACAATAAAAAAAAATGTCATAAAACTTAAAAGTCATTTTAGGAGACAAATGCACCCTAAAAAACAAGTAATCAATCATTCACGTGCAATCAAGAGCAGCAAGCACAACCGTATAAAACAGATCCAAAAGGCACACTGTCTAGGTGAAGTAGTGGGAGTGAACCAGAGGTTTGTGTTCTTTGGGGCCCTCATTTGCAGAGTATTTCTAAGGCAGCTATGAAGAGCAAGTCCCTCTGAAGAGGCAACCTGTTGACTGCAGCACAGTGAAACAGGTCTTTCTATAGGGGGCTGTCATCTGTGTTCACATCCCACCTTCTTTTAAGCACAGTGTTCACTCCAAAAAAGAAACAAACAAACCCATTCCCACTTCTTCTCTGCAACAGTCCTTGGAGTATTTATACAAAATTGTCAGGGTATCTAAACACGAGCTCAACTGAAGAAAGACTTTAGCTCAAATTTTGGAAGTACCAAGAAAAGTGCCAGACAAGAGGAAGGATAGTGCTGTTTGGCGAAAAGCAGGAAGATATTTCAGATGGGAAAGCAGTACCCAAGCCAACACCCAGATTCATGTTTATCAGCTTTTTCCTAAAAGTCAACTAAAATGGTACTTTAAAAAAACCTATAAGTTCTAGGGACTGTCCTTGTAGCAAAGAAGGAAGTCATTGCCTATAGTGTCAGCATCCCATATGGGCACTGGTTAGAGTCCCAGCTACTCCATTTCTGATGTAACTCTAAGTTAATGGTGTAGGGAGAGAGCAGAAGATGGCCTAAAAACCGGGCCCTGCACATCCTTAGGGGAAGCCAGGAAGAAGCTGCTGGCTCTGGACTGGCCCAGTTCCCATTACTACAGTGAGCTGCAGAGGGAGACAGTGGATGGAAGATCAGTCTCTCCTCACCCTTTCAAATAAATAAATAAAATTTTAAAAATTAACTCTCAAAGACAGAAGAGCATAAAGACAGAAAAGTACTATCAACGTTGGATGCGGAGAATCAGCTAGCCCAGTGATAATGACACAGGATCCTGAGGAAAAGTAAATGCTTGAAACCAGGGAAGCCAATGAAGAAATCACTTAGTTCGGGAGCTGCAAGCACCAAGTATTCTAGAATGAAGCTATGTGGGTAGGACTGAAAAAGAACTATTAAATCATAATATGTACAAGAGGTTATAAATTAGAAGCTGAAGCTTCTATTTTCATCTCTGTGATAAGACTGAAAACATATTTTCTGAAAAGCTGGACCAGATTATTATATACAAGACAAAGAGATGGAGACACAAACAGGATGTCAGAGGAGACTCACTCCCTATAGGGACACCCTGCTCTTATCCTCATGCTGGAGACTGGAACATTTCTCTATAGGAAAAATCCAAAACAAAACCAAGTAACACAACAAGTATCCACAGAGAAGAACTTCCAAAAATGCCACTTGGGAAACCCAATTAGAGCTCTAAGTCTGTACAATACACCGGCCATGTCACAAATAGAAGCAATGTACTCATATCAGGATTTCAGTGCCTCAAAATAAAAATAAGCAGGTGACCAATGATCACCAAGTATTTAGAGTTCTGCTGTTAAATTTAAAGCCTGAGCCAAACAAAACAAAGTAATGGGGAAAAGACACAATTAAAAATGGAAAAAAATAAATCAAAAACCTGATGAACACAATAATTCTGCAGGGAAGATCATTCAAGGGAACAGAAAAAAATTTCCAAGAATTAAAAACTTGATACTTGAAACCTTAAAAAGAAAATTCAACAAGAGCACTGGAAGATAAACTTGAGAAGACATCCCAGAAAGTAGAACCAAAGCCAAGCAGATGGATAACAATTAAAAAAAAAAAAGTGGGAACTGAGAACCAGAAAGAGCAGAGCATATTTTTAATTCTAGATATGCAGAATTACTTGACTGTTACAGTACTTTTTTGTAGCTCATGACAACTGAAATGCAACTTAAAAAGCACCAATAAAAAAAGACGGACTGGTTGGTAATAATGAGAGGATGGTATTAAGTGGAAGTCAACAGTGTTAACGCAGGACTCATGATAAGCATACGTCAACTTTGATGCCAGTGAGTAAAGGAAAGTAAAACATCTGAGCCAATAAAGAAAATATATGCTATTTCTTCAACAAACTAAGCCTGTGCTAAAAATGCAATCAACTGTAAATAGTGAACTATAAATATACATAAAACGGGCTCCACTGGAGGCTACAATATGAAATAAATTCCATACTAAGAAGCATATCATCATATGAGAATACATAAGAAAATAAACAACTCAAATGACACTTACCTATTTAAAAAAATTTTTTTAAGTGAGGTCCATGTATTGACAGCAAAATACCAACAAATACATTACAAATAAAAATTTAGAATAATTTTTTTTGTAAGCACACAAAATTTTAAAACATGAGCAAATCAAGTTCAAAAACTAGAATAGTGCATCTTGCCAAGCTTTGATTTATTCCAGCCAACTGGAGAAAGGAGGAAAGGTTCTTAATCTGATAAGGATTATCTACAGAAAATCTCAGCAAACATATTCCTTGTATCAAAGCACTGAATACCACCATGGCTTCAAGCATCCCCCATGAATTAAGAGGAACTGCTGTAGACAGCAACAGCAGACTGGAACGGAACAGATGCACGTGACAGAAATCACACATGCACTGAGATTTGCCCAAGAATCTCATTAACAATGAAAGCTTAACACCCAACAGTGTTAAGGCCTGAATGACTACATGAATAAAAATCAACTGGCTTTTTACAGCATAACAAAAAACCCCTACTCTCAACTGTAAATAAGTACAAGAACATTAAAAACTATAAAGATATACTAAAAACTACAAAGGAGGAGAAGAAAAAAGGAAGTATCCAAAAGCAAATATGATAAAATCGCAGGATACATATTCTATACTTAGTTAATGACTGAATCATTTCTGCACCAGGGGCGGAAAAAAGCACAGAAAAAAACTGTAGTTAACTCATTAAGTGATAACAATGATGAAACATTAAATGCCATTTCCTAAGCTTTCGTTAATGAACACGTTACTTTTACAGCAGAAAATAAATATTGTAAATTAAAAAAAGGAAAAAAAGGAAAGACAAGGGGAAAAACTGATCTGTTACTAAAGGTGAAGTAGGAGACATGAGCAATCAGAAGAGGAGAGAGCACGAGGCTAGAGCTGCCAAGAGTCACGCATAACCACGTACACCCTGTCTGGAATCAGTGAGAGCATAACGGAGGGAAGGCAGCTACCTATCACAGAACTCAGTTTTATAAAATTACAGACTGTGTATTCAAATACACAAAGCTTCAATTAATGCAAGAATAGTCAGCATTCTGGTATGCTACCAATCCAGACTTCACATTTACCTACATTAAAAAAAAATAACACACACGTGGTCTCGTTTCTTAATTGTACAGATACAATGTGTGTATGCATACATATATATAATATAGTTCTAAATTTTAAGCAGATCTTCATAAACTCTGCTTTGCAACTTAATTTTTAAAATATACTTTTAAGGCTTAGTGCACACAGATCTAATTTTCTGAATGACTAATATTCTACACATTGAAATTAGAATGCATTTCTACATGAAAAACAATGTTTCACAAAAATCCTTTAATTCTCTAAGATGGCTATCTGAAAGAAATTTCCAACTGCAAATGTGTATTTTTAAATTTTGACAATTACTAACAAACTCTATTACCTAAAAGGTTCAACCAATTCTCCCAAAAAAGAACAGGTTTGTCAGTTTCTACCACTCTGCTAATGCTGGGTATAATCAACTTTTAACCTTCATTTTTAATGATTTGTTCTCTTTCTTTTTTTCAGAAAGGAAGAATTACAGAAAGAAGAGATTGGGGAACATCTTCCATCAGCTGGTTCACTCCCCAAGTGGCTGCAACAGTCGGGGGGGGGGGGGCAATCTAAAGTCAGGAGCTTCTTTTAGGTCTCATACATGGGTGCAGGGGCCCAAGCAAATTTGAGCCTTCTGGTGCTTTCCCTGGCCATAAGCAGGCAGCTGGACTGGAAGTGCAGCAGCCTGGATGTGAACTGGAACACACAGCGGATGCTGGTGCCACAGGTAGAACCTTAGCCCATGGTACCACAGTACCAGCCCCCAACTTAGATCTTTTTTGGCCATGATTATAGATACAAATCATATATTATTATTATTATTATTAAAGACTCATTTATGTATCTGAAAGCCAGTTACAGAAAGATGGAGAGTAATAAAGAGCCATCCACTGGTTAATTTTCCAAGGCATTGCAATGGTCAGGGCTATGTCCCTTGTCAGCAGTGTACTCAAAGTATTTAGGCTTTAGAAATTGAATGTAAGGAAGAAACTGTAATTATAAAAATAGGATTGCAGAGAAATGAGTAAGTAAACCCATAGATCTTAAAACCAATTAATATTTCAATCTGGCTAAGATACCAGAAATGTAATAGCCATAATAAATCTGTGATAACTGAGTCCTAATCGATACAGACTTTCCAACTGGACTTGCCAACATTGCCCTGCCCCTTATGACACTACCCCCAAAAGTTTTAAATTAGTGATATAAAAAATTCTAGTTCAACAAATGAATGCAGGAGCTGCAAATGAGCAAGCAGGAGCTCAATCTCAGACTAGCGTTCAGAGAAAACACAATGAAAACAACAACTACAGAAAAGAGAAATAAGAGATGCATTAGACATACTATCTACACAGTCCAGATGAGAACTCAGGGAGCAACCAGAGTCATCATACTGACAGCAGGAAAAAAATCCTATCCTCAACCAAACTGTAAAAATGTCTTAACACAAAAGTATTGATAGTCATCTTGAAAACTCCCATCAAAATAAGGAAGCACATTGGTTGAGTACCTGAGAGATCACTGCTTTCAATTCGCCGAAGATCCGAGTCAGCCCAAAAGAGCTTGCCCAACCTGCTATCCAGGGCTAGAGCAATTGGCTTACTTAAGCCACTGAAGAAGAGAACCTCCCGTTCTGTTCCGTCCAAAGCAGCCCGTTCAATTTTTGGAGACCTTTCCTGAAGATTGGTAAAATACATATACCTGAAGAGAAAGTAGGAAAAAGTAAGTTACCAAAGTAATAATAAAAATATAGGGATAACATTTCTGTTTTAAAATCTATTTTTGGAATAGGTTGAGGGTTTATGTTTTATTACTTTTATTAATAGCATCAAAAGGAAACACAGAGAAGTTTTTGGAAAGCTAACTTTCATAGGTTAACACACAGTGTTATGAAAGAATACATACCTATGCTTTCAGACTGACAATAAATCAAAGATTAGTGGTCAGACCAAAAACATCTTAAAAGTCCTTTTACTAATTACTTTTAACTAAAAACAAATCAGAGATAAATCGTTTCTTATACTTAGTGTACAGATTCTATCTTTTCTCTACTTCTTTTGATGTGAGATACTTTCCCTATAGAACTCTTATATCATTAATTCAGACACTACTGAGGACTGAATAATACATGCAAAACTCTGTGTGAAGTAAACTATGACACAGTAACTCTTAGGAACTTGAAAAGACTGTTCAGTATGTAGTAAACAGGTAACTACAGAGACACTGATACAGCATGCATGACTCAGAAGGGAAAAGCCTATCTAACCGGGTAGGATACACGTCCCAGGGGACGCAAGGAAGAAAGTTCTAGGCCAAGATATCAGTAAAGGATAAGAGAAAGTGACTAAAAATTCACAGTCAAATGGATGAAGAATCTCTGGCTGTCCCATGGACTAAGAAGGAAGGTTGAGGAGGTCTCAGATGTCAAGACAGCTGACTGCCCCTTTGGAAACATACCCTTTTTCTGGGTTTACCACAATGGCTCGAGGTCTGTCTTGCTCGCCTTTCAGCACCACTCCAATGGATCTTCCATCCAATCTTGTCACATTAATGACATTGGTAGCCTCACAAGTCCAGTAGATGTAGCGGCTGTAAATATCAATGCTGAGATCATAGGGTTGTATTTCTAGGTTCTGATTTGGAACTGAGCTCACAACCACTGTGAAGCCCTAAGGAAAGAAAAACACAGAATATGAGACTATACCAGACAGCCTGGAGGATGACTGTCGCACTCTTCCACCTCTGTGGTCAGACACCTGAGATCACTGCAGTCTGACAGAGCATTTCTTGCTAATGTATTTTTGATGGATAACGTGCTCCCTGTTAACATGCATCTCAAATGTTCCCTTGACTTGTTATGACCTGAGGTCCAACAGAGAGCTGCAGACAAACTGGCTGCTCCAAGAAGCTGATAATGCTGTGAATGGACATTGGTCTCTTATAACTGGGAACAATGGCTATACCCACAATTTAGAAATACCTTTAGTAGTAGTTCTCCACAAGGGGCAATTTTGCCTCCCAGAGAGGCATTTGGTACTAGTTAGAGACATTTTTGATAGTCATGACTACTGGGGGTGTTAATGGGCACTAAATGGGTAGTAGACAGAGAAGCTACTAAATATTCTGCAATGCACAACAGCAAGTTCTTGGAAAGCCATCTTTCCATAACAAAGAATTATTCATCCCCAAATTTAAATGGTGCCAAATTTAAGAAAGCCCGTTCTAAATGCTCTACAGATAAAAACAACTAGTCAGGGTTACAATTCCAATCTTTAGATCATCTCTATCCCATCCTCAAACCTACTAAAACCTCAAATTAAAAATACTTTCTTTTACAAAGCCAATGAAGAAGAGAGGTTTTATGTTCATTCGCTCTAGTTGCATAGATTATGGTCTAGCTACCTGATATCTCAGCAGAGACATATTTCTTAACAAGGTGACTTAACTGGTTTGCCATGCCTTGTGATACCTACCTGCCTATTAGTCCTGTCCTACACAGTACAAGGATGCACCTGGAATGTACAACTAGGACTATGCCCCCTAAAGTATCTCTCAGAAGCCTTAAGTACATAATATTCTTATTTTTCATTTTGAAATAAGATATAACTCCTCCCCCCGGCAAAAAAAGTCAGTAATTTAATCTCCTTAAATTTTAATACATCCGGGCCCGGCACGATGGTGCAGTGGTTAAGGTTCTCGCCTTGCACGCCTGGGATCCCATATGGGCGCCGGTTCTAATCCCGGCAGCCCCGCTGCCCATCCAGCTCCCTGCCTGTGGCCTGGGAAAGCAGTCAAGGACGGCCCAAGACTTTGGGACCCTGCACCAGCGTGGGAGACCCGGAAAAGGCTCCTGGCTTCGGATTGGCTCTGCTCCAGCCGTTGCAGCCGCCTGGGGAGTGAATCATCGGACGGAAGATCTTCCTCTCTGTCTCTCCTCTCTGTATATCTGCCTTTCCAATAAAAATAAAACAAATCTTTAAAAAACCAAATTTTTAATACATCCAAGATCCCATTCACTATCAATGCTATCAGGAAGATGACAAACAACTACTTATAACAAGTTGGGCGCAACACTGTCTAACCACAAAAAAACCAGCAGCAAATTTGGAGACTATGTTAATCTATAACCAACATGGAAGCACAGGTAAGTGACATAATAGTCTCACTCCCATCCCAGTCACCAAAGAGTATTTACCAACAGCACTAATAAATGTTCTAACTTTTATTGAGGTTATACATGTTTTCTATCCTATGAAACTTGCACGTAATAGTACACTAACAATTTAATTGTTATTTATCAAGTTCCTACTACCTAAAAATGAAGAGCTATTTACAAGAATCCTAGTGAGTGATAGAGTTGGGGTCAGAATAAAGACCTATTTGATTATGAAGCTCCTAGCTTACCATATAAATGAGACTATAAGAAAAAGCCGTACCTATAAAACTGTGTCACATAATGCAATGTAATCAATAAAAAAAAAAAAAAAAAAGAAAGAAAGAAAGAAAGAAAGAAAAACCCAATATAGATGGGTGTGGACAACAGGGACAAGACACTGCTAATGTACTGTCTTATGGTGTCCTAATACATAGCGTGTCTGTCTGTCTGTCTGTCTGTCCGTCTCTCTCTCTCTCTCTCTCTCTCTCTCTCACACACACACACACACACACACACACAGAGTCAAGTCAAACCAGATTTTACCCAGTTACCCGTCAGAAGGAATGGGTTTTTGAGCTGAGCCCCAAACTACCTGGCTGCCATCCTCCTGTGCCTTTCGGATCACGTTTTGGCGGGAGTCGATCCAGTAGAGCTGCTTGTCCAGGGGGTCGTAGTCGATGGCCCGCACGTTCCGAAGGCTGTGGATGGGCAGGATGATGTCAGGGCTTTGCTGCTCATCGATCACCATGCGGTTGATGGCGCTCTTCTGACTGAAGAGCAGGAAGGTGGTCGGAGCTTTAAGAAAGAGCAAATATGAAACACAAATTACTCTATTTTCTTTGATTTATCCACAGAAAAGTTGACTTCAACAAGACATGTGAGAAAGATAACAAAATTCTCTTAGTCTACCAAGTGAATTAACCTATTCCTCCTTACCTATTCTAGTCTGTGGTTCCAACCTAGTCTTCTCACCCTCTAGTCTTATGAATTTAACTAAATCACTGAACTTTTCCGGGTCAAATTTTACTCAACTCCACAAAATTCCTGTTATAACCATCTTGCCTATTACATTGACATAAAGAGCATACAACATATAAACACATATTTTAAAATGTGAAAGCAGGTCTTGCATAAATATGAAATGAAAGCACTTTATTCTGACTATTAAGAGCAGGAACAAACTTGGTATTAACAGGAGATAACAAGCTTTGACAGATTACAGACACTTTGTTTTGCTTAGTGTGTGCACATGGTTGCCAGGAATTGGGAGTAGGTAAGAATTAACCAAACTACTAATAATTGATACTTGGCACTCATTATCACTAATCCTTGTAACACACTTTATATTTCTATTTTCACTTAAAAAATACCCTGCTTTGATGCTGCTGATGCCCTAAAATTATGAAATGGGAAAAATGTAACAGACATTATTTCTACTTCCCAGAAACCAGGCCTCAGATGACTAAACAATCACCAGTTCTATGGAAAAAAAAATCTAGAAAAGAACAGCATTTAAGAATGCTACCAACAATCATAAAGTCTCAGTGAAAACACATCTTGCCCCTCCCGCTTCTATGTGAATATATTCTAAGGCCCCTAGTGGCTGCCTAAAACCACAGATCAATTAACCCCATATATACTGTATTTTCCCATACATACGTATCTATAGTAAAACTTAACTTATGGATTAGGAACAGTAAGAGATTAGCAACAACTAATAAAATAGAAAAATCAAAATAATATATCATAATGAAATTGCCAGCATCACTACTCTTGTACTTCGATGCCATTATTAAGTAAAGCAAGGGTTAATTACATACAGGCACAGCCAAACTGCAACAGCTGATCTGATAACTCAGATGACTAATCCCAGTGAGGCACAGACAAGCAGTATACACAGGGTGGACTTGCCAGACAAAGGCATGATTCATGTCTCACGTGGGACAGTAAAAGACTTCACCGTGTTACTCAGAATGGTATGCAATTTAAAGCTTACATGCTGTTTACTTCTGGGATTTTCTCTTCTGTTTTTTCTATTATTTACTTTTTTTGACAGGCTATAGGGAGCCAGAACTAGAACCAGACATCTTCCATCCCCTTGTTTATTCCCTAAATGCCCAAAAGGGTGAAGGCTGAGTTGTGTCAAAGTCAGGAGCTGAGAATTTAATCCAGATTTTTTTCCCCCATGGGGGTGTTAAGGGGTCCATGTACTGAATTCATTACCTGGTGCCTCCCAGGGTATGCACCTAACAGGAAGCTGGAGTCAGGAACAGGGTTGGGATTTGAGCTCAGGTACTCCAATATATGATGCAGGCATCCCAAATAGCATCTTAAACTGTGCCAAATGCCTGCCATGATCTAATGTTTCTTTTCACTGTGGTTGACCATGGGTAAGTAAAACCACAGGGTGAAATCATAGATAGGGAGTGTATGTCTAAACTACAACTACTCACTCTTCTCTTGGAGCGTGCAATATCACTCCAATCCAGTACAAATTTTGTTCATCTCAGGGATACAAAACAAACAGTCCAGCCAGGACCCTTAGCTTTATTTCTTCCCTGCCAATTCCTCACTGCGCCATTAATGATTTGTGATTCCTCAGCTTATGAGACATTTACACTCAAATGTAGATGAACTTCAAGCCCATTTCTAGCCTGCTGTCTGCTCTGAAAGAAGTTTTACTGGAACTCAACTCTTCCTAGTTTTAAAATGCACTGTGTGTAGCGGCTCTTAGGCTACAGCAGACAGAGCTGGGCAGAGGTGAGCAGCTACCACAGAGCCTATACACATATAAAATCTAAAGCATTTACTCTGGCCCTTTAGAAAGCAAGTTTTCTGGCTCCTGCATTATGCCTAGGTAATCTATTATTTTGAATGCATCCTGGCAATTCCACAATTAGCACTCCCAGCTTTGCTTCCCTACCACTCCACCTAATTGTCTTCCTCTGCTCATGCACACCATTACTAAATTATGTTCACCCCAGCTCCAAAATATATCTTGAATGCATCAGCGTCTCTGCATCACCACCCTCACAACACAGCCCACGTTTGTGTCACTACAGCAGTCTTAAGACAAACAAATACGGACTCATGACTGAGTGAGAAAATCATCACCACACCAGCCAGAAGTAACACAGCCTGCTGTGCTCACAGCCTGTGCTCTCTAGTTCCCACCAATTACTGAACGTTTTATGCTGCTTTAAATTTTTTCATGCACATTTTCTGCCCAGTCTTATACAATCAATTTTTGTTTGTTCCACTGGGTACACTTTAAAGGACAAGAGAGTTATGTTTAGGATTCTCTTCTTTCCTTTAAAATGAATAAATATGAATTATGTATAGCACACATATGATTTCTGTCTCTATAATGGTATGTAAATTTTGCACTAAATACTTCAGGCCCAAGCGTTGTTATCATCAAACAAGTGGTAAAAACTTAATTATACAAATAATCAACTCTAGAATTCCATGGTTTTTTTTTACTCTATAAAGAATAAATTAAAGCACTTCGAAAATGCTGCTTCATTTTTTTATGCAAGCCTGTTTTGAAGGGAAATAGAGCTTACCACTACAAGTCCTGTTGTCAGCGTTAAGAGAGTAGTGGGCAGGGCATCCACAAACAAAACCTCCAACCGGCACAGCCAAGCAGAGATGGGAACAGTGCCCATTGCTGGAAGCACACTCATTCCAGCCGGCCTGCCGCGAGGAGTGAAAAACGAGGATGTCCATCACATAATCCAAATGGCCCTGAATAATGGTGCGGTTTTGGCCACTGGTTTTGTTGGCACGCTCGATGCTGCGTCGGCTCCAGTCCGTCCAGTAGATATAATCTTGGTATTGAGTTAAGCCAAAAGGATGAGGCAAGTCATCTGCTATAACTTCACGGTTGAGTCCTATTTTTGGAAGGGCAGCAGAAGGGAGAAACAGAGGGATGAAATATGTGTGAATACAAGAGTCTTGTCAGTCAATAATAATAATAATAATAATGAAATAAGCCAAGACATTAAATCATAAGCAATTTAAAATAAAACAATTAACAAGACCAGTCCTTTAAATCACTCCATCTACTGTTTTAAACCTAGCATTCCTGGTATAAATCAGAGTTCACTTAAATTCCTACAAATGATCTATTTTGACAGTAGCTTTATTTTCTCTACTTAAGAGTCTAAATGGCTCAACTTGTCCTCTTCCTTCCATTTAGATAGAAGTACATACATAACAATAATGAAATTTTCACATTATAAAGACGTATAAATCCAAGTACTTGGAGCCACTATTAACTCATAAACAGGATGTAATTCTGTAACAGCAGAAGAATCCAAACATTCCAATAACGCTTTATTACAAGTATTTAATCAAGAGTGAACAGCAGCCGCTGATTATTGCAGCAAGAACAAAAGACAGTCAAAGCTTACCAAGCATATTTGAAGATTCAATTAAGTTGGTATCCAGGTCTGTCCAGTACAGCCTCCTTTTGGCATAGTCAATAGTTAGGCCATTTGCACGCCCCACGTTTGGAACTAATGTAGTGCGTTCACTTCCATCCATAGCAGCTCTGTCTATCTTAGGTTTTCCACCCCATTCAGTCCAATACATGAACCTAAATTAAAAACAATTGATATGTAACATTCCACTTTTGAGTCATATTCAGATAGTAATTGGAGAAAAAATATATAGTAAAACAGAATCATGGCTGTAATTCTTTTAATTATTTGGCACCTTCAACTGAGTATTTTTTCTCACATCTCAAAAGGGAAGTAAATCAGCTTTCCCCAGTCTTCAATAAATTTGTTCCATCCAGAAATAAACCAATGGTTTCTTTTTTGTAGCACTGGCATTTAATTTAAGAAAATAGCAAAGGATTAATGCTCTGGTCTTAAACTGGTTCACCTCTGAATAAAGTATGTTCTATATTTCTGAATATAAGAAATTTAAGTTTTTAAAATGCTGAATTGCTTTTTGATTTGTATAATCAAGTTTCCCTGAAATAAGCTGCAGGAGCACATCAAATGCAAAAATAAATAACGCTTCTTTAACTGAAGTCAAAACCAAAGCTTTAAAGTGTTTTTAGTCATGAGTCCAAGGAAAAATGCCACATGAAGATGACCCCAACCAGTTACCCGATGAATAGGACTACAACAGTCCCTATGACATTTCAGAAGCAGCTTCTGCTTGATATTTTACTTTTTTGAATTGTTCACTCTAATTTTAGAGCAATCCTTCAGTACAGGAATTTCACACATGAGGAGGTCAGAGCCCTGTTAAGAGATATGAATGTCTTGTGTTCTCAAGCCAGCTAATGTGGCAGACCTAGAACTAGAATCAAGTCCTTACCCAAAAGTCCTTTCAACTAAGCTAGCAAAGGTTAGTGTTTGAGACTGATCGTGGCACTAGGAAAGCACCACATGGCAGCCTTCATGATATGTCCGTGGAAAGATATGCTCTCATCAGCCTGTCACCTGAGAGCTGAGCTGGTAGCAATGTATGAAGATGATTTCAGAAAATTAGAGTTGTCTCAGGGCTTATTTTGCATTTATATTTGTCAGCTGACAGGCAGAGCACATCCCAAGAACCAAAAACAAAACAAACGAATGTGTTTCTTTATATTTTTTTTTTTTGAAGAAAAACATTTTATTGGAAAGGCACAATTTACAGAAGAGAAACAACGATCTTCCATCTGCTGGTTCATTCCTTAAACAGCTGAAATGGCTGGAACTGAGTCAATCCACAGCTAGAAACCAGGCGCCTCCTCTAGGTCTCCCACGTGGGTGAAGGAGCCTAAGGCTCTGGGTCATCCTCTACTATTTTCCCAGGCCACAATCAGGGAGCTGGATGGAAAAAGGATCATCCAGGACATGAACTGGAGCTCATATAGGATGGTGGCACTTGCAGTTAGCCAACTGAGCCACTGCACTGGCCCTAGCAGTTAGCTTCTTAAAGCTTGCTGACTCCTGCTAAGGATCAGCTACTCTTGAAAAACATATCCTGTAAAGAATTCAGTGTATGTCACAATACCAAAGCTTCTCCCTAGTTCATAATGATCAGAGTAATTATCGACTTCAAATTAATGGTCTAACCTGGAGCTTTTGTAATAAAGAGTAGTCTTCCTTAAATTAACAATGAATATGTTCGAAGGCTCCCTGTAGGTGCCTGAAACCAGATAGTACCAAAGTCATCATATAGCACATGTTTGTATACATATGTACCCATGATAAATTTCAATAGATAAATCGGATACAGGAGATTAATATTAAATAGGGGCTGATGTTGTGGCACAGAGGACGAAGCATCAGCATCCCATTATGGCTGTCAATTCAAGAGCCAGATGCTCTACTCTTAATCCAGTTCCCAACTAACACTCCTGGGAAAGCAGTGGAGAGTGGCCCAAATGCTTAGGCTCCTGCACCCATTTGGGAGACCAGGAAGAAGCTTCTAGTTTCAGATTGACCCAGCTTCAGCTACTGAGGCCGTAAGGGGAGTGAACTAGTGGCCAGAAGATTTCTGCTTCTCCCTCTTTCTCTGTAACTCTTTTTTTTTTCAAATAAATCTTTATCCTTTTCTTTTCGTTGTTGCTGTTTATTTGTTTAAATACTAGGATATATCCAAAATCCTGCTTTAAAAAATAATGGAATAATTATAATAGGTGTTATGTAACAAAGGTTATTTAAAACTTACAAATATTTATCTTTGGAATTTTTCAATTAATGTTTTACTACTCTAGTAAGTGAAAACATGGAAAGCTAAACTACAGATGAGGGGGGATTACTGCAGTTATCTTTAGCCCACCAGTATTGTTTCAGTGGGTTTACTGCAACAAGTTTGTGATCGGGTCTAACCGGGGAGAGACGGCAAGCAAACACAGGTTGAACCTCAAAACAAGCTCTTCACTTAGTGTATAACTACTAACCAACAGTATTTAAGTCACTTCATTTTCTTCACCCAGTATTAATAATGGCAAAAGTAAAATTCAGCTACTCATTCATTCTAAATCAGTGACAACTCAATTAATACTCTTAAATACTGCTGTTATTTTGTTGTCAAACCCATACGCGATATTTAAGACATCAAGAATACAATCCATAGCTAAGCCATGTTCCTCAATGTGGGCAATGAATGAAGTCTCAAAGGAAGCAAAGGTTAAGCTATTTACCCTTCAGCAGGGTCCAGTGCTAGAGCTCTGGGGCTATCCAGGTCTTTCCACACCAAAACTTGTCGATGCTGCCCATCCAACTTTGACACCTCGATTCGATTTGTTCCAGTGTCTGCCCAGTACAAGTTCTTCCCTAGCCAGTCCACAGCCATGCCTTCTGGATAGTCTAAGCCAAATTCCACTACGTGTTCCAAGGCACTGCCATTCATAAAGGCTCTGCTGATGGTCTGCAAAAACAAAATGGACACAACAGTCATTCAGCTCACATTCAAACCTGACTCAGAATATCAGAATCATCTTTTGCTGGGGACAGGGAAGTCCACACCACCAAGAAGCTCATTGTTTCTTAATTGCATTCCCAAAGTTGACAAGCACAAACAAACATGGTTAATTTCCAATAAATACAACTCTGATCTTAAGTTTTATTGCCAATTGATAGTTGAAACTCATAAGGACCATAATGGGTATTCTACAAAGTAATATAACAGAACTTTTTTAATAAATATATTTAGCAGTAATCAAGTGAAAATGATGTGACTAGAAAGCTGCAACCTTCACTGCCAGTCAACTTTTCAAAAGTATGTGAGAGTATGCCAAGTCATTGTGTCAACCTGAGAAATCCTTAGTAACTTTATAAAATGGTACAACCATTATTATCCATTAGTAAAAACCATAAAATTTAAAACAACCACAATTCACACTAATTGCAACAGATGCTACCTTTTGTCAAGCACTAGTTTAAGCGTTCTATGCCCACAGATTTTCTCACCAAATGTGCCCAGTAGCCTTGCAAGAAAGGTACTACTTCAGTTTTAGGATGAAAGAACTTAAAAGAAGGCCTCCCAGTAAAAGCTGTCAGGCTCTAAATAAGTTCTGTTTCAAATAATACTAGCGCCAAGCCTCTATAAGTCATTTTATGTGATTCACCTACTGTTTCTGCAGCTAATTACAGAAAACACCACTTACCATCTTCAAATGGAATAAAATAGAGGGGGGAAATATTCTTCAGATTGAGAACATTAGCAAAACATTTTGCATTAAAGGGCAACTAGCAAAATGCAGAATGGACCTTTGCCTTCACTCTTTTGAACTCTGCCTGTCAAACAATGAGGGAGGCTGCTCACAATATGAGGATTTAGACATTTATGAAGTCCTCCCTCTTTAGTCCCCAACTTGTATACTCCAATTCATTTGCTAACCTTGAGCGATATATCAGTCCAGTAAATTCGATTGTCTGTCACGTCAAAATCTAAAGCAGAGGCTTCTTTGACCCCAGTGAGTGGAATGGCCACATTATTATTGTTTGTTTCCAAAGAAATTCGTCTGATATCTGCTCTGCGTGAAAACAGAAGAAAAGCCTCTGGGACAATGCAGGTCTTCATGTCACTGATGAGCTCGAAGCCAATAGGGCAGGCACAGCGAAGGCCCTGAGGTCTATAGAGGCAAAGATGGCTACATCCCCCGTTCTCCTCAGCACAAGGGTTGGTTCCTGAAAGATAGATCAATGTCAAGGGCACACAAACACACACAGATGTGATCAACACATTTTCATTTTGAAATTAAACATCTGTTTCAAAAGATCTATGATTATATGTGTCAGCTCTTAATCCAGAGTTTCAATTCTGGAGTTTCTCACAAACAAGCAGGATAAAGATTAACAGGGAGCGTCAGTACTGCAAAAACACTTCTCTTTCTACCCACAGTAAGCTTTAAAATAAATAGCATTACTCAAGCAATATGAATGAACTTTTTTATGAGCATACCGCAGTGCCTAAGCATGTATTTATAAATACATTAAAAAAAAAAAAGCTATAGCTTTTGATTCTAGCTGTTATAGCCAGAACAACAACTCAACATTTCAAAGAGTTCCCCCTGATGACAAAGGGGAAGGGGCTTATAGACAGGATTCCTCTGTTATCTCAAACATTCGTAACTTACACGCCTGCTTTAAAGCTGCCACTTACACGTGTTCTCACTCCTGGTCTCCATTTCTAAGCAAATGCCACAATTACTTACCAATGATTCGATGGACATTGGTGGCCTTCAGGCCCATGAGGTCAGGCAGCTGATCTATGATGATTTCCCTCTCCGCACTTCGCTTGTGGACTCTCTCGATGCTACGCCGCTGCCAGTCAGTCCAGTAAACATAGTCCCCCAACAAAGTAAACCCAAATATGTGCGGGATCTTGTCTTCTACCAGCACTCGTCTCCCAGTGCCATCAGTATTCATAACCTTCAAGATAAATTCAGAGAATGAGAAGAATGAAGGTAGCACTTTTCCTTCAAGGGTGTGTAAAAACAACTAAACTGCCAGTTGCACTGAAACCTAAGAAGCATGGAAGATGTCCTATTACAATGTTTTCACAAAATTACACCACCAGGATTTAGTGAGTGATTCCAAGTTATTTAACACACATTCATACAACTATCTGATCACTACTTCTTCTATTGTTACTTTTCCTTCTAAAAACTCTTGCTACTTCAGATGTAGTTGGAACTACATCAGTTGAAATCACATCCTTCTAAATGATTGTCAAAATTCAAAATATACTATGTTCACTCTGCTTACTTCTGTTTTCAAATTACATTATCTTCCTGTGTATTACATTTTCAACATATTTTATTCTGAGAAGTTCGCCTTTTCAATATCTACCAAAACTGGAATTCATATGAGGTCACACACCTTGTAAACAGAGTTAATGTCTGTTTGAAGACCCTGTCCACTTAACATACTTTTAATTGTTATTATTAAGGCAACAACAACAAACAGATAAAATGGATCTCATTAAATCCCTTAATTCTCTGAGATTATAATCAGAAAATATGTAGCACTCATGATGTGTTCTCTGCAACTCATTTTCAGAGAAAGAGGATATACCTACTCTTTGCAGTTAACCTGAAACAACATTACTGAATTCTGACACTTACACTGTAGCAACATGTACTATTCTGTTTTGAAAGATGAAGAGCTCAAGTCCTCTAATGAGAGCATTTAGACCTTTTAGAATGCCCTGGGTACAATGCAAATTAACCTTCAAAAGTATTACCAGCATGCACACACAAACAGCATGTGAGTCCTACCCATCTAAAAAAGGTGCCAGATAATATGACACATAACTATTACTTTTTTTTTAAACCCAAAGGTCAGTAAGAAACATTCTAAGTCAACACATAATGAAATGGCAACCAGTTGTTACCTTCTGCACCCTCCCTCCTTTTTCCGTTGTTATTTTTATATCACTCCCTAAAATTTTAAGTACAAGAATAGACAACCCTAGCTCTTGGAAATTGACAAACTCAAACTGTGCTCAATTCTTGTATTTTCATTTGTAAATTATCAATAAACACTTAGCAAATATCTGGGGGAAGAGAGATCTGATACTGTTCATATAAGATGCAAGGCCAACTGTATACATCTGTAATTAAGCAGAATGCTCTATTTTAAAGTCACAAACAGATTTTAAAAAATAAATAAAGTACTGGAGTTGGCAGGATGACTCAACTGGTGGTCCTCAGCTTACAAGTGCAGAATCCCATATGGACACCGGTTCATGTGCCACTGTTCCACTTCCAACCCAGCTCCCCACTTGCAGGAGTGGGAAAGCAGCAAAATCTTGGGACTCTGCACCCACATGGAAGACCTGGAAGAAGCTCCTAGCTCATGGTTTTGGATCGGTTCAGCTCTGGCTTATTGTAGCCGTTTGGGGAGTAAACCAGCAGATCTAAGATCTTTCTCTGTCTCTCCTCTCTGTAAATATGCCTTTATAATAAAAATAAATAAATCTGAAAAAAAAACCCTAAGTATTATTTCAAGATAATAATAAAATAATAACATCATTGTGATCATCTTGAGAGAAAGAATCTGAATTCACATTTTAAAATGTCAATGATCACAACATCAGAGGCAGGATGTCAAAGTCCAGTAAAAGCCTTAGCTGCAAAGGACACCAAAGACACTCAAACTATCTCAAACAGGATGCAGAAGGCCTCCACATGACTTCTTTATCCTCCATCATTTGAGCCCAGGAAAAGTGCTCTTGCCTACCCTAAACCCATGACAACAGCACATTTCTGGTTACTTGTGAAGATTGCATATGCTCTTGACCTCACTTGAAAGCAGAGTTCCTAAGGAGAATTTCTAGCCCCATTTTATCACTGTCTGGAAATTATAATCAGAGTGAAAAGTCTCTCCAGTAGACATCAATTTGAGAAATGTAACTTGGGTAGGAGGAACTGTGTTTAACCTCTGAACTATCCACCCAACTTCTAATCAGGAGATGATTTTTTGACTCCAGTCTATCTCTGACATCCTTTTCAAGGACTTCTTACCCATATTTTCTTTCTTCTAAGGATCTCCAATTTCTCCGTCTTTCTGCCTTTAACACAAATTCTTAGATCTTAGGAAGACACTGCCTTAGAAGAACAATGATTCTATACTTCTCTCTTTACTCCACTGTTCTGATTTTATTGACATATTCTTTGAATATGAGCTGGAACTGCTGTTTCTACCTCATATCATTAACTTCCTTATCTCAAACAATGATACCAACACGGAGAGTTGCCTAGAACTGCTTTCTTGCTTTTTTCTATTCCTTTGCTCTTTCAACTCTGTCTAATACTTGATATCTTAATCACCCAATCCAACTTTCACGAGGCTTGGATGGCACAATATGATCTTATTTCTTTTTCAATCATCTGGACTGCTTTTTCCTTATTTCACTGGTTCCTCTTTGTTTTCCCAAAAGCTGGCTGGATATTTTCCAAGATCCTTCCCTGTCTGCAAAACACCATTCAAAAAGTCCATATGAAGCCAATGTCTAATCTAGCATTTAGAATGCCTGCTGCCTATGCTGGCGTACCTAAATTCAATTCCTGGCTCTGGCCTCCTGCTAACGCAGATCCTGGGAGGCAGTGATGACGGCTCATACGATTGAGTTTCTGTCACCCATGTGCAAGACCTGGATGGAGTCCATGGCTCCTGGCTCTAGCCCCAGCTGCTGCAGGCATTTGGGGATAGTCAATCAGCACGTAAAAGTTCTCCCTGTCTCTCTGGCTCTCACATACATAATAAAACTTCTTAAAAAAAATTAAAAGAACATTTGTATTTCTACTTTACAAACATTATTTGTTCTGCCAACTCTAGCTGTGTTAGTCTGGCTATGTTTGTTTTAATAAATGAACAGCTTTAACACAAGATAGGTAGTCATGAAATCTGGATAACAGTATTAAGAACAGAACTGCGAAAAAAAGAAAAAAATAACAACATACAATTCCAAAAGATCTTGTGGGTTCACACAGTTCTGCACTTATTAACTATTTAACAGTTAACCTTCATTCTGCTCTGAAAACTGTCTCATGATGAACAAATAATAGTGTAGCAGAAACTGATTTGGATTCAAAATTAGCTCAATCACTTACTGGGTGATTCCTAACATAGGCATTTTCTTACATGTAGAACAGGAAAGAGACAATACTACCACGGAATTATGTGAAGACTCAGCCAAACAATGTTCAATATTTTGCACAGTATTGCAGATGCCTGGCAATGCTGACCCGCTACCATCTAATGTCTTTCTGTTCAGATGCATTAATCCCTAAACATATGGAGCTAGATGGTCATATTTATTTCCTAATGCGGTGCCTCAAAGTAAAAAATCAGTATGTAAAAGGATATGTAGAAATAAGAAAATAAAACCACCATATACTGTGAAAATGAAGACGGAAACCAATACATAGAAATAAAATGGTTCACAACTGTTTCCATGTCTATCTGCTAAAAACCCGTGGAAAACTACAGGGCTACAGTCTTATCCCATTTTTTGCCCTCATTTTCACTGTTCACTTTTGTTACTTAAATACAAAATGACTAAAATAGCAAAAACAAACAGTTTGACAATGTGTGCAGAACATACTTTTGCTGCTCTACAAAGTCCTCACTTCACTGCCCTCCAAAACCAAACATCAATAAATGCTGGATGAACACAAGTGGATCAGGAGACACGACGACTTCTCGGAGGTTCAGAACAGCACCAACCGATCAAAATCCAGCTGGGGAGTAGAAACCACACATGCTCTCTCCAAGCTCTGATAAGCAGAGAAATCTTCAGAAAACAATAGCTGCAATCCATCTTGAAAAATTAGAATTTTTACCATGAGAGAGAAGCAGGGATTTTCCAGAATAAAATACGTAACACAGTAAGGCAAAGAATCAAGGATACACAGAATCCAATCATTAGACTGAGGCACAAAGAATACAAAAGGCATTCAGCACAGAATGTGTCAGGCAGATTATCACTCAGTGGAGTATGAAATTCCAGGATAAAGAGAACTATAAAAAACAAGAAGCTTTGGGAAGCACTCTAACGAGAGTGACACACAAATAGTATTTCAGGAGCAGCTATCTACCTTTGTAAGTGTGTTAGGTTATATATGTGAAAAAGAACCCTCGTAATTACAGAATTATGATTGGTGAAACATTTTCAGTTTCCTGTAGAGTAACAACAGAATTCCCAAACCCATTATTTGAACGTCATATGACCATATGCACTGCAGAGTCCAGAATGTTTTTGGATACTTATAAAAGTTAACACAGCATACATTGCACAACATCTATTTGGGTCTAGAGCAGCACTTCATTGCCAAACACATTAATATTCCCGCAAGAGAACACTTAAGATTTCCACAAGGTGGGATAAATAAATACCATAACGAATTGCATGTTGCTTATGTCAGGTCTTTCCACCAGCTAAGTAGAAGGTGATGTTTGGGTTTCAGAGTTGTTTGGACTCCAGCATGGTAGCTGAGGAACTGTAGTAGTGGCTAGGACTGAGCTAATCCATACCCAGGAGCCTCTTCCAGTGTCTCCCACAGGATGCAGGGTCTCAAGGACTTGAGTCATGCTGCTCTATTGCTTTCCCAGGCCATAAGCAGGGAGCTAGATCGGAAGTGGAGTGGCCTAGACATGTACTAATGCTTATATGGGATGTGGTGCCAATGCTGAGGGAGACTGGCTATGCCACTATGTCAGCCCCAATTGATCTCTTATTTTAAAAGCCTAACCTAGGGCCCGGCGTGGTGGTGCAGTGGTTAAGGTCCTCGCCTTGCACGCTCGGGATCCCATATGGGCGCCGGTTTTAATCCCGGCGGCCCCGCTGCCCATCCAGCTCCCTGCCTGTGGCCCCAAAAAGCAGTCGAGGATGGCCCAAAGCTTTGGCACCCTGCACCCGCGTGGGA